AGATATAAAGAATAAACTGGTTTATCGCATCCACTGCCCCGTGCCGGCCCAAGCTATCTGCTGGGGGGTCTAGCTCACGGTACAATACGCTCTAAAGGCCGGCCTGGGGGCCGAGGCGGCGTCGGGCAGCGGGCGAGGCGGCAGAGGCAGGGATACTCAGGAGAGGAAGTAGATGAGGTAGAATGCATAAAGGGCCAGGGCAAAGCGGGTTCCATAGGGCTCCACGGGTTCACCTCCAGGGAATCTCAGAAGTAGCGTTGTGTTGGCCCCTTCCCGTTCATGCCGCACGCAATCCGAAGTCGATGCAGCTTTGTAACAGTTGGCGCCTCGCATGCTTCCAAGTTATGATGCGCAAGCTTCTCCCGTCGCTTGGCCAAGGTGACCTCCCCTTAAGCAGTGCCGCTACTGGCGTTGAGTCTTCCACGGCCCCGTCATGTGCTTCGTTAGAAGTACCCTGCTGGAGCTGGAGTCGGGGGGTCTCTTCTTCGGGCCAGCACTCCATCTGTTTAGCTCCGACCGTTATCCTGTGTTCATCCATTGGTGGGTGTGCGCTTCCAAACCCGTTGCGCAATGCCCTCCTGGTCGCCTCTCCAAACAATTCCACACGCGGTCTGGGGTGCTGCTGCTCGTGGCCTGCTCCCACCTGTCCTCTGGTATCCTCCTCGTCTCTTTCTCCATCTGCTGAAAGCAGAGCAGGCGTCCTTTTCCCCTCCGAAGACACTCCATCAACTTGTCCCCATCGACACCCTTGTCGTCTATGCGACGTGATGGGTGAAATGTCATCTCCATGTGGATGGGGGGAGGAGAGAAACGGGTATATAGTCACGACGCCACCTACTCTTGATGAGCGCTAGAGTCGATTGCCTATGGCGCGCAGCGTTGCGCATTGCTCAACCAAGTGCAATGCGCCACACGGTATGAGTATGTGATATAAACGGCGTTCGTGCCCCTTCGCCCCAAAATATGTAGAACTGATTTCGGTGAACGTTGTGGCCACACAAACTATTTGTTTCGCAGAACGTCCTGACCTCCCTGCCGTTTTCATGTTCAAGTGTTGGGGCACAATTGCCTGTATACCTACCCGCACTGTGCTGTACTATGCCGTCGCGCGCTCTGTGTAGCCCAAAGCCCGTGTTAAGACCCCTTGCTATCACTGCCGCCGTTCTGCATCCCAATCTATCGCACTCGTGTTGCGCCCACTGCTGTATGTTTTAGCGGTCGTAGCGTCAGGCCTGTAATGGGTCGGCGACATGTACACGGCAAATACCGCCACGTCGACTTGTTCTGCCTGTAGTCGTGCGCCTGCCTCTCGACCCAGAATCTGCGCTGGGGGAACATTGATACTCCGAAGGCTCTCTGGGGAACATCTTTTGGAGACCAAAATTGTAGTACCATATCGGTTTATAATGCATGTGCCTTTCCGCGTACCGAATCGTAGGGCCCAGTGTTGCGGCAAATATGTTTGTTACTGGCTCTGGCCCCGCCGACTCGTGTGTACCACCTCGGAAGACAATGTCCCAATTCCGCATCGTCACACTGAGATCCTCCAGTCGCTCGCTTCCGCTCGCAGCATACGGGTTGTATGTCGCGATCCGCATGCTGCAAATTTGTCCCCTGTCACTGCAGTGTCGGTCCTACCATGGCGTGGGGCGCTGATGCCCTGCTCCTCCCCCTGGCCTGTGTGAAGTGAGAGGCCCTAGCAAGTCGGCATCCGTCTCTCGAAAGTGACTCGGTCAGAAAATCTCCTGATCCCGACTAGGAGGAGGAGGAGGAGGAGGAGGGGGAGGAGGAGGAGGAGGAGGAGGAGGAGGAGGAGGAGGGGGAGGTCTAACGCCACAGGATAACCTTAGGTTGGTCTAACGTAAAAAAAAAAAAGAGGGAGGTTAACAGAACGCATACTATTTTAATTCCTGCGGCCAGGCCTCCCAGAGCCTTCCTGGGAAGCCGCTGCAGCGGTGGCCCTGGGCCTCAATGGCTCTGGCCAGCCCCAGCAGGCCAGTCGCAACGGGGCGGCAACGCATGGAGGAACAAGAAACGGCACAAGCAGAACTTCTCGGTGGTCTGCGCGGACTTCTTGGATCGGAGCTGGACACCCCTGCGCGCCAGGGGCGGTGCCGGAGGCGCCGCCAGGGGGGGCCCACGCCCGAAAACCAGAGCCCCTCCTGAGCCCAACGTGGTCCGCACTTCAGAGTCTTGACAGTACCCCCCGCATACATACACACACACACGCACGCACGCACGCACGCACGCACGCACGCACGCACGCACGCACGCACGCACGCACGCACGCACGTACACACACACACACACACACACAGGGGTTGCGCCCCCTGCCCCTGCGAGGCGTGGGACCTCGAGAGGGAGGGCGCTGTATCTGGCCGTGCTTCGTCCCTCAGCTCGCCTCCTCCTCCTCCTCCTCCTCCTCATCCTCCTCCTCCTCCTCCTCCTCCTCCTCCTCGTCCTCGTCCTCGTCCTCGTCCTCGTCCTCGTCCTCCTCGTCCTCCTCCTCCTCGAGGTCCCTCGTCCTCGTGGCCAGGGACCCCCAACTTCAGGTCATGCACGACACGCCTGCCAACCGATGTGAGACGGAAGAGAAGCATCGAACTGAAACCGCGCACGGATTCGCCATCGGGCCGTCTGGCCTGCTGAGGCGCGGCAGAATACCAAGCGTTGCCCGGCAGGCTCTTCGCAATTCTTCTTCCAATGCCTTCCAAGCCCCCCACCCCACCCCAGGGCAACACCCAGGTACATCCTCACCCCAGCGCCCGCCCCATGTCCCGAGCCTGTGGCAGGGTCAACAGCTCGTCGCTATCGTTGTCCTCGTGGTCGTCGTCGTGGTTGTCGTGGTCGTCGTCGTCCTTCTGGGTCGGCGGCACTGGCCGTCTTCGTCAAATGCCCCCGGGCAACACCCAGGCACATGCACCACCCCCCTCTAGCGCGAGGCTACGTGGGCGACCCGACGCCTTCCTGGGGCTCTTCCGGGCTTTCCAAGGCTTCCAAGAAGGCCCAGGCAGGCCACTGAGGCCACCAAGACTGCCACACATTGCCTCAAAAGACACTCGACAGCCACCAAGAAGACCTCGAGAGGCGCAGAAGAAGCCCAACGAGACTCCCAAGGCGGCAAAGAAAGGCCAAGAAGCCCTCCAGAAGGCCAACATCGCTCAAAACCTCAGAACACCCTTATGTTAACCAGCGTGGCCCACAAACTGTTATGCTTTGCTATCTATGCGGTGCATCTAGGTGGTGCAATCGATGCGGTGCACTTGACCACGCTGCACCGCGCGTGATCACCTCCCATGCTCGTGAAAACGTCCCACCCTCCCACCTGCATCTTGGTCGGCAAAACTCATAAGGTCGCGACTGCAATTACAGCGTGGAGCTCGTCCGCAAATTTCATCGAGCTCACTGGCACGCGGACCCTCGTGGTGCGGGCACAGTCCATAGTGCGGGAGACAGCGCGGACGACAGCGTCGACAAACAACGATGAGGTGGTTGGCAGAACCCATAAGGTCGCGAGTACGGTTACAACGTGGAGCTCCTCCGATAATTTCATCGTGTTCATTGGCGTACGGACGCTCGTCGCGCGGGCAAAGTCCATGTTGCGAGAGACAGCGCGGACGACGGCGTCGACAAACGACGATGAGAATGATCACGACGCTTCCGACGGCGATGATGACGATGACGGTGCCCCACATGGTACTATTTGACAGGGATCATGCCTCTGGCAAGCGCGCGAGTGCATTGGAATAAGTTCGACATGCGCGCGCGAAGGCCTCCTTGGACAGGAAAGTTGATAAAGCATTGGGTTTCTTGGAAATCTGCAACAGCGCGCTGGATGAAACATTGAAAACTTCGTGTTGAAAAAACACTGGCTTCTTTTTAACGTTTTTCACTGAACTCGCCACGAAAACAAAGGTTGAGGAAGGATTTCGTCTTGCGCGCTCGCATGTGGCCCGCATGGTATTATTGCATAGGGATTTGTGCATTCAGCTCATCTTAGATCAACGCATGAGCACCGCATGGTATTATTTGACAGGGATGAGGGGGGGACCCGATACTGGGACTCGCTGGGATGGTATGACTTCGAATTGGAAATGAACAAAGAGGCAGAATCATATGTGAATCGCAGTACCCCAGGGGGGAGTGGTAATCCCGGGGGCGTGGTGGGGGTAGAATCTAATTTCCTTTCAGAAAGGAGAACCGAGGTGGTGCAATCCATGGGGTGCAACCTTTGTGGTGCAAAAGCAACGCAGATCAAGGCAAAGCTACGCAACGCAACGCTGAGCAACGCACAGCAACGCAAAGCACCGCAAAGCACTGCAAGGCAGTGCAAAGCAGTGCAACTGCAGCGCAACGCGACTGCAAGGCACTGCGACTGCAACGCAACGGGGGCAGGCGCCACGGGGCGACGGCTACGGGCGGGAACGGGGCCGTCGGGGCCGCAGATGGGCACCTCGTTTGGAAAGATGGGGCGGCGACGGGCGGGAACGGGGCCGCCGGGGCGCCGCGCACGGGCCCGGCTCCTCAGAGGAGAAGCGGGCACCCCCAGGTGCAAGCACTGTCTGGGAAACAGTGTGGACGCTTTGGGGTTCCCCCCGCTGTCTCGGCTCGGGATGCTTCCACGAGGGCCTCGAGGGGGCCACAGAGGGAGGCCAGAAGAGCTGGATGAGGGCCCCAAGAGACCCCCAAGACTGCCCATAGAGACTCCCCGTCGAGATGGGCCCATGACAGCCCACGACGGCACCAAGGCGGCCCAAGAGAGCCCTCAGACGGCTCGAGAGGGTCCTAAGAGGGTCCCAACACGGCTCCTCCGGAGCCCAAGACAGCACCAAGACGGCCCAGATGGGCCTTTCCAGAGCCCCTCAAGGACCTAAGGAATAGAGACGACAGGTGTCACGTGTCACACTGTAAGGCTTTCTGCCGGTGCTCCAAGCGTCGCCACGCAGCAGCGTGCTGCGCTGGCACGGAAGTGGAACTTGCTAGAGACAGGCCGTCCTCCCTCAGCTCAGCCGGCGACGTTTGTCGCTCTGCCGACTCTCATCGCGCGCGTCGCCCGAACCCGGCTCACAGTCAGCGACCACAGCCCCATCTGTGTTGCCCGGCGTCGACTGCACCTCACCCTCTGGGACCCCGCGGGCGGTGTCCGTCCAGATCCAGAGGCGCCACAGCATCCTCTCTGGATCCTCGTAGGGGTCTTAAGGGGAAGAAAGAACTGGCATAAGCATGAATGTTCGACGGTCCGCACGGATTTTGTGAATCTGTGCTCTGGACCTCCCTGGCGGCGCTTCCGGCGCCGCCCCTGGCGCGCTCTGCGCACCAGGGAGGGGGAAGTCAAGCACAGATCCAAGAAATCCAAGAGGGCCGTCGAAAGTCCATGCTCATGCCGGCTTTTTCTTCTGCGAGCCTCGGCCATGAAACATGCGGTAGTTGTCCACGATGAGGGCCTCCCCTGGCCGGAGCGTGACCCGCGTCGCCCTGGCCTGCGCCCGCTCCACAGCGGAGTGGTAGGCGCTCAGCATGCGCGCGTCGCGCTGCGGCTCGGTCGAATCCGCCGCGACCCGCTGGGCCGCGAAGGCGGCGGGCGGGCCCGCCAGCCGGCAGCGCAACGCGCGGCGGCCGTCCCGGGCACGCACGACGACGGGGCTGACGCTGGGCACCCTCGAGGTCTGCTCGATGGCTTGGGATCAAAAACACGTGTGGTCAGCGCTCGTGTTGGTGGAGCCCCTTCAGGTGATGCCCGGGAGGCTGGAGCACTGACCTGACTCATTGCGGCCCTGAGGAGGGCGAGGGAGAAGGAGGAGGAGGAGGAGGACGAGGAGGAGGACGAGGAGGAGGAGTGGTCGGGTCAGTGCTCGGGCGGCTCTGGTGGCACTCGAGCAGTTCCCTCGGAGCCCGGCGCCGACCGGACTGCCTTTCTGCTCCCTAGATGGGCCTGGCCTCGAGGGCCGCGGGCACCCAGTCCGACTCTGGATCCGCGGCGAGTTCGTCGAGCAGCCCGTAGCCGTCTATGAGGAAATTGGCGCCTCCGGACGCGCAGGCCCGGACGCAGACGAGCGCGAAGACGTCCGGGAAGAGATCGCCGTAGGCGTGCCCGTCCGTGTGGGCGCGGAAACTATCATGCTTCTCGATCCCCCGGGAGGCCATGATACGGTCCGAGATTTCTGCGGGAGGCCCGGCTGCGCGCAGAGCCGGGCCGAACAATGCCCCAGGCAGCGCGGCCACCTCGTCCTCTGTGGTACCGGCCCAGGGCAGGATGCAGGCGCCATGCTCCTGGAGCGCCCTCACAGCCTCAGGTGGCTGCGAGACCCGTGGGCACGTGACCTGGGCCATGAAACGCCCAGCGGTGGGCAGCTGCACAGGCTGCAGAAGCTCCCGAGCCAGAAACAACTGCGGAGAAAGGAGGGCAACAGGACCAGGATCAGGAGCAGGAAGTGGACGAGGAGGAGCACAAACACAAACACACACTCACACATACACACACACACACACACTCATGAAGAAGGCGCAGAGCTCGCCAGTGTCTCGCTCGAGAGAACAACTCTGACAGCATGCCAGACTTTGATGTTGCAGCGCTCAGCAGCCAATGATTGCATTGCCTGTCGAACGGTACCAGCAGACATGCCCGCGCGCGCTGAGGCTCGAAGCATACCCGGACGCACGGAAAAGCAGCGTCAGCCGCGAGCCCGGCAACACCCAAAAAAGGGGCGAGCTCACTGGGCACGCGTGGGACACCACTCAGATCAGCGCGTGCTGCCGCTCCGCAGAAAAGTGCCCACAGCTATCCGCTTGACAGAATTAGAATCCAGAGCAGGGCGAGGTCTACGTGGGCCCGCGTGGGTCACAGCCTCTGCCGGAGCGGAGCGACAGGCGCGCAGGAGCGCAGCGACGGGCGCGCAGCGTCGGAGGCGCGCGGCAGCACCCCGGGGGGAGCGAGAACAGAGATCTAATGCGAGAGAAAAACCGGAAGCGAAAAGGAAAGATAGGGGGCCAGATGCGAACCCTACCCCTACCCCCCACGACTTCTGAGGGGGAGGGTGGGGTTCACTTTGCCCACCCTGCCCCTCAGAAATCGTGGGGGGTAGGGGTAGGGTTCGCATCTGGCCCCCTAAAAGATGCACGAGACGCGGAGAGGGAAGAGGGAGGGAGGGAGCACAAGGAGGAAGGGAGGAGGCAGGGCAGGAACGAACAGCACGCACTAGGTCAGAATCGAAGACCCAACCCCAGGAGAGTTGGGAAAAGACACGACTGGCGTTGTTTCGCGATTGCGGCGTCCAAGAGCCGCGCTCGAGCCTCGGAGAACGCCTCGCCGACTCGCGGCGCAAAGAAACAGTCTGAGGGGGGATGTCGAGAGCTCTGGGGGTCCATGACGCGGAAAAACTCCACGTCCGAGGTCTGGGTGATCACCGCAGCCACCGTCGTCGTTGCCGCCGTGGCCGTGACCGTGATCGTCGTAGTCGTCGTCGCCGCCGCCGCCGCCGTCTCCGCCGCCGCAGTCGCCACCGCGCTCGTCGCAATCGCCGGCGCCACCGCTGTCGTCGCCTGTGTCGCCGTCGTCGTCGTCAAGTGTCGCGCGGCCTACAGACTTGGCCGACATGGGCAGCACGTGGTAGCTCCACTGCGCCCCCGCGTGCGGTTGCTGCGGCGGCGCCTGCAAGGGCAGGGCGCAGGATCCTCCGTCCCCTCCTTCCGTCTACTTATTTTGCGTCACCATCACCATCACCAGCATCATCATCATCATCATCACCACCACCGCCATCATCAGCATCATCATCATCATCATCATCATCATCACCATCATCATTATCATCATCATCATCAGCATCATCATCAGCATCAGCACCAGCAACACCATCGTCGTCATTGTCATCGTCATCATCAGCATCATGCAGCATCGGCAACATCGACATGATGGTCGTCATCATCATCAGCATCATCATCATGTTCACCAGCATCATCAGAATCACCAGCATCATTATCGCCAGCATCAGCATCAGCATCAACATCAGCAGCATCATCATCATCATCAACGAGCATCATCATCATCAACACCATCACCATCACCATCGTCGCCATGATCCTCATATTCCTCATCATCATCAGCGTCATCATCGTCGTTATCCACCTCACCATCATCAATATCATCACCCGGTTCACCTGAAACTGGATATGCTCATCATTCGCTTCGTCCTCATCCTCATACCATCATCATTTTCACAAACATACATGATACCCTCGTGCGAGATATCATCGTGTTCAACCACGCGAAGATCGCGACTGCATCAAAGTCTGATCATCATCGACGTCATCACCACCATTACTCCCGCCATTATCAACAGCAGCAGCACCACCACCACCATCACCACCACCATCATCATCAACAGCAGCAGCATCACCAGCATCATCATCATAATCGTTCACTCGCCATCGTTTCCCATCCTCGTCTTCCTCCCCCTCTTCCTCCTCCTCCTCCCATGTTGCATGTTGCATGCTTCTAAGGGGGGTCCGAGCACTCCTCGGGCCCGACCGGGGCCTCATTGTGAGATCCTCTGGCCTGGCACTCCTAGGGCCCGCGCGCAGTCCTCCTGCGATCTGGCGGCCAAGGAGCACGGCCACTGCTGCAGTCCTTGCGGCAGCAGTCCACGAAGCAGTCGTGACCTCGCCTTTTTCCCCGTGCTTGTGGGGGGGAGGCAAGGGTCCTTCAACTTAAAGGCTCGAGTCGACGACCCACACACACACCTGCTGCAAAATGCGACCCCACGGAAGACGTGGAGGTGCGGGAGGTGCCACGTGTAAAACCACTGGGCATGATTCGAGGTGCACTGGGACTCGAGCCAGGACTCCTTGGCCCCGCGAATCTGATACCTGAAACATATATTGCGCCGCAGGCCCTCGGGAACATCCTCCAAAACATGTTGGGCATGGCCCCACTTCTTCGGGGCCGTAACCCGCCCCCGCTTCTTGGGGGCAGGAGGCGGGGCTGGGAAAACCTCCCAGAAAAACTCCTGGTCGGCGGCAATTCGATTCTGGATGAGCTCCACCTCGCGATCGGCTTCTAGGACGGGGCGGGTCACCCAATCAGGAAGCTGGACACATGCGGCGGCATCTGTTGCTACCTGATCTGCCAATTGGTTTGCCAGGCACGCCCAGGGCTGGATGTTGTAATCCCAGAAATCACTCTCCGCGGGGTGGGACTTAGTCTTGTGGAACTCCATGGCCCCGTCAAAGTTCTGATGGGCCTTCCAAGACTCCTCCCATAGGTCTACATAACATTTATGCTGCCAGAGGGGCCCTCGTAATACTCCACGATATGCATATGCTGAATCGGTCACTATGGTGATCTCACCTGCTAAATTCTGGACGGTTTGGACCACCGCGTAGAGCTCCCCGCGGTTGACCGCCTGTTTCCCTGACAGGCCTCCTCTTAAAGTTCCCATGGTCTCGAGGTCGAAATTTTTCACTGCGACCCCCCAGCCAACTCTCCTCAGCCTTGGATCGTTCGGAAACCTTCCTCCCCCAGCGTCGGTCCCCACCAAAAACTTGCCCTTGATAGGGCCCCCTTGGATTATGAAGGTCCCCGTGGCTCCTAGGGTGGCTCTGGGTGGGTGTTGGTCCAGGCGTCCTGTCGTAAAATCAGCTGGCTGCAGTCCTCGCCCCCACTTCACTGGATACGAGGGGAACTCATCAATAGCCTTCTGGATGAGGCGCTGGGAGTCGAGGACTGCTTCATCGGCACTGCGCATGTGCGCTGGGCATGTCCAAAGGTGGTGAAGGTCGTCCTCCACTGGTGCTCCACACCTGGCACATCGCGCTGACTGGCTTGGTTTACATCCGTGAACTCGGGCATTGGTCCAGGTCGAGGCCTTCCCGAGGGCTTCGAGGGCTTTGGCTCGGGTGGGCTGGTTATCCTTCCGAAGCTTCCGATAGGTCTTCTGAAACTGGAACGCGTCGATCCCAAATTCAGCTCCCCCTCCAAGATGAAAGTGCGAGGCCCTTTCCCAGAGAACCCGAGAAACATATACACTGAAGTCGTCCAGGAAGGCCGTCTGGGCTCTGAGGTCTCCAGGAACGAGTTTATACCATTGATCGTCAGGGAGGATCCAACCCCAGGGCCCCACCATGTACACTCCTAGGTCATGTAGGGTGGCAATGAGCGCGGAGAAGAGGGAGGTAACCTTACTCCACCGGGTCTTACTCGCCAGACGTGCCACTGTAGGAGACCATATCTTTCCTATCGCTTTGTGCAACTCTGGATTCTGGTTGACCATGTCGAACCAGGTCTTGACAACTTGCATCGGGAGGTAGTGCGCAGGATCCTCCTGCTGCTGCCCCCGCGCTGACAAGGCAAAACCTGCGGTCGTGCACCCATACTTGGGAACATATCCGAGCCCCCGGACAAGTTGCCCCCGAACTTGTTTGAGAACCGTCGGCGCAATACCTTGCCCCTGATGGCCCCAGAAGAGCTGTGGACGGGCCCCCGCGTTGACCGGCCTCCGGCTCTTCTTGGTGGTCCTGGTGAGGTTGGTGGCCCCGTTGAGCCTCTGGGGCCCATTCTTGAAGCGTTCCTTCCGAATCTTCAAGCGCCTCCGAATCCCCAAGGCATTGTCCAGGCCGAGGTCCCTCCCCTGGATACTGGTCTTGACGGCCCACCCCAACTCCTTGGTACGCTCGCTGATTTTGACGCTCAGCCCAGGCACTGACGCGAGAACACAGGACTTGGGAGAGAGCTTGCAACCGCGGGCCTCGAGCTTCTTACCCAGGAACGCCACGGCCTCTGGAACCACCTCCAGGATCTCCTTAGACGAGCCCCAAACTCTCAATCTCAGGTCGTCCACCCAGGTACGGAAACGAACACGTGGAAACTGATAATGTAAATCTTCCAAGATGTTAAACAGAAATGATCGGGCTAAAGATGTTGACCGGGCACAGTCTTGAAGGACACTGTCGGTCGGACACGTGGGAGACGAGCATCCTAAAGAGGCTGATGACAAGAATACGGCTGCTTGGTGAACCAGCATGGCGCGCATAAGCGGGGTGGTGGGGCACTCAAGACTGATGGCCACCCCGCAGACGCACTCCGCACAAATAGCGTCGAAAAACTGTTCGATATCAACCAATGCTTCTGCTTGCGGCATCTGCAAACTGGCGACCAGCTCCGCTGTCACTTCACTCAAAAGGGCGGCTCGGAGGCACGATGAGCCTCGGATCGCCCCATCCCAAAAACCTGCTCTTTTGAACCCCATGCGGCGAGGGCTGGGCGGTCCAACTTGACTAGAATCCGAGAGAAACTGTTGGTATGGGTGATGGGCCGATCGGACTCGATATCCTCAGGGGGGAGGCGAACCATGTTGAGTAACACCTGCGCGGGATACTTAAAGGTCGTCCGAACCTGATTGATCAGGTCGGCGAAGGCAGTCTTGCCCTCGGACGGCAGGGCGTCGAGCTCGCGCGGGCGCCGCAGGTCAGCACCTCCTGCAGAGCTAGGGCTGTACCTCCGAACAACTTCAAACACTTCGGCTTCGGTCCAGTCGGGCTCCTGGGCAGCAAGCTGCAGGGCAACTCTTCGGAGCTCTTGGAGCCAGGGAGGATCTTCAGGGCACTTGCGGGGTCCCTTCGGGCTCCAGTATTTCTCCCAATAGGTAAGCTCATGCTGCATAATCAAGATGGGGTCATCGGCGAGGGCCCCGTTAAGTGGTACAACGTCTTGTTCTTCAGGAGGGGGAGGGGTGCCCTTGGTGATGGCATGTGAGATCTTACCTCCTTTCTTTAAGTCCTCCTCGATCCACTCCTGGAAGGCCTTCCGAGACGCCCGGTTATCTTTCTTCTGGAAATGCCGAGGTCTCTGCTCTAGATAATCCCCAAGAGGCTGCCCAGACCCTATCTGGAAATTGGCCTCGAAAACCTCTAGGTCCGAGAACTGGCCTGTGAAATACTCGAGACTGACACGTTTAATCTCGGGGTCGACATACTCTGGCCATCTAAGATCAGGGTTAATTCTGTTCAAGAGGGCCTGCAGCGCAAACGCTTGTGCATGGGGCCCAGGGCGTCGCAGGAAATGATCGCGATCCTGCACGCGCGCGACGGTCACCTGCCACCGGTTGGCGTCGCTGGTGGCCAACCCCGTCTGGGGCTCTGGCGGCAGCAGGGGGCGCCTGAGTAGCTGCGCACACTGGCCTCGCTGCGGCGCAGACTGGGAACCCACCTTGCTGTGGGCTTCCTGCAACTCCAGAGCTCGACTCAAGATGGCGCAATCACGGGTAATCTACTTGCTGACATGCTGGGCACAGACAGGGTAGGTGGGTATGAGGTACATGCTCTCCTCCTCCTCCGCCCTCTCGCAATAGCATTCCCAAGAGTGTTTAGCTCCAGAATATTATTTGGGGAGAGGGGAGCCCCGACTGCATGCCAAAATCTCTTTCTGAACCACTGCGCGCGCCAGAACTCCTGCCACGCCTAGGCGCGGTCTCCACGGGCCCTCCAGGACTGCCGTGAGGGATGCGTCGAGGGCAAGACGCTGGTCAACCACAAAGTAGTCCAGCATGCGGTGCCCATTCGAGCACGTCCACGTCGCATTCTCTGGGGTAACCACGACCCCGCGAACCCAGGAAAGCCACTTCATGGGTTTCTCCAAATCTTCAGGAAGAGCATTCCAATCCCCCGCAATGAGGTAGGGGAGCTTCTGCGTGCGAATGTGGGTGGTGAATTCCATGACGATATCACGATTTGCCTGGTTCATCCCAACCCCTGAAATCAGATAAACAGCGACAGCCAAGAAATTCACCCCATCGGGTTTGATAATACAACTGGTCCATCGGGCCCCCATGGCAAGAGGCTTGATGTGGCCCTTGGATCCCATGACCCGAGCGTGAGAAGTTAGGTGAGATCGAACCCCGAGAAGGATCCCACCTTGGCTTCCCTGGGCGGTGGGCGTGGCGGGGCAGACGTATGTCTTCCAGCCACTCTTCTGAAACTTCTTCCGAACGTCCCCATGTCGGTCTACTGTGAGGTGCGTCTCAGTCAGGATACAAACGTCTGTTGTGAAACGAAAGCCCAAGATATGCTCCCAACGACCATCGGGGTCTGCCGTCTGCCGTGACTCCCGGTCTGCGGGCTCAATAGTAACAACAAAGGACACAGCCGAGTGATGCGCGCATCCTCACGCCTACTCGCCCAGACCTAGTGAGCTACCCTAGCACCGCGCATTCAAGGGCACGCGGTCACAACGCCCAGCAATGCTTGAGAAGGCGGCGGCCCTGGTCCGCAGCAGGCCCGAGGCGAGGCTCGCTTCTCGAGCCCTCAGCGTCAGGCTCCTATATGCCGCCACGCTCGTTCCGGGCAGGCTGTGCTGTCCGGCGGAAGGGGACGAGGAGGGGAGAAGCAGGCAGACGACGACGAACGCCCAGGCGGGAGGCCAGGGCCGGCGGGGCGGGCGGGCAGGCAGAAGACGGGCCAGGCGGAGACAGCAGGCAGGGAGCAGGAGGAAAGGAAAGGGAGGGAAGCAACGAGCAGAAGCGAAGGGAGGGGGAGGAGGGGGAGGAGGACAAGGAGGAGAGAAAGCAGCGGCCGCAAGCAGACAGGCCGGGCCAGGGGCCGGGAGAGAAGAGCCGCCCGCGACGAGGCTGCGGACCCTACGGCGGCGACCTGGGCGGGGTGGCCGCCCGAACCCAGCGCGATGCGGCTTGGTGGGGATTGCCCTCTGCGGGATCCATCCACCGCCCCGCCGGGGAAAGGCCGGGCGGCGCGTGGGAGGGGTCGCCGGCGCGACGTTGGCGAAAGGGCGAGGGGGGCGCCCGCGCTGCCCAGCAAGGGCGGGGGGGGGGGGCGGGGGGCGCTAGGCAGCGCAGGGGGCACCTCACACGGCGTCTGCCGTGGAGGCCGCCGTGGCCGCGGCCAGGCGGGCCGCTGCCACCCCCGCCCCTCCAGACAGGGTCTGAAGGCGCCGCAACACCGCCCGCGCGTTCTCCCTGTGCAGGGAGACGGAAAGTCGCCGGGCATGTTGGTCCGCAACCAGTGCGGCGTCTTCCCCCGTGGCGTCAGCCACCCGCTTGGCCACGACCCCGAAGGCCCTGCGTGCCTCGCGGCCCCACCCGCCGCCGTGGGCTTCCACCACCATGGGGGGGAAAGTGAAGCCCTGTGCCGCGCAGAGCCGCGCGGTGTCCTGGTGCTGCCTTTTGAACTCCTCGTACCGCTCCGTCGCTGCGCTTGCTGAAGCGGCCGACGCGGCGAGGAGATCGGCGCGCAACCCTGACGTGGCGGCAAAGTCCCAGGCGGCCGCCGTGCCGTTGCGCCACCGCGGCAGGTAGACGTCGGCAGGGCGGCGGCCGTTGTCGTCCACCTGGGACCCGCCCTGCTCGCCCCCGGGGGTGGCCTCCCCGGCGGGGCGCGCGGGTAGCAGCCCCGGGCGCTCCAACTCCGCCCCGGCGTGGCCGGCGGCCAGGGCGTCGAAGAAGGCCTGGTTGCGCAGGGCGTTGTGGCGTTTGGTCCGGTCGCCGCGGCAGGCGCAGACCAGGGCGTGGTCGCAGAAAACGTCCATCACCTCGCCACAGGCTGGGCAGAAGCACTCCTCCTGCAGGAGCTGGACTCGCAGCCGCCTCTGCAGGCCGACCTGCATGAGGCCGCGCGGGAAGGCGGTGCCGGTGGCCTCGCAGGGCGGCGCCTGGAGCCACGCGGCCGCGCCTGGGGCTTGCACCAGAGAGAGGCGCGCCTTGCCGGCCAGGGTGGAGCCCGCCAGAAGTCCGTCGAGCGAGGCGCTGTCCACCGCGTCGGAGAGGGCCTTCTGGTTGCCGTGCTGCGCGTGGTCGAAGACCACCCGGTCGGCGTCCCGCACGACTGCGTTGTGGGCCTGCACCGCAGCCGCCAGGCTACCTCCGTCGCGGTCGGGGTTGTTGGAGTAGCCGGGGTAGAGCTGCCGACAGAGGTCGGCGCTCCTCGCTCTGGAAGCGATGTAGGCGGCGGCGGCGTGCTTCGCGGCAGAGCGCAGGCCAAGTCCTCCCTTCCTGAGCTTTAGCTGAGCCTGCTGCCAAGAAGCGTCGGAGGGCGAGCAGCCGCTCAGTTGCTCAAGGCAGGCCCGGACAGCGTCGCCCATGGCCAGCAGGGAGGCGGCGTGCGCGGTGGGCGGCACCACGCGCGCGGAGTAGCCCAGCTTGCAGAAGGAGGCGCACTGGCGCAGGAGGTGCAGCGCGACCTGCGCGTTTTCGAGCTCCCCCAGAGCTTCCAGCAAGTCGGTGGCGCTCGCGACCCGCTGCTTGGTGTGCTCCGCGCAGAAGTCCGCGTCTCCCACTGGCGCGCCGAGCAGCTCGAAGCCGCGATCGGTGCGGAGGCGGAAGCCCGGCGGGAAGCCGTCCAGAGACACGTCGGAGGCGTCTCCGCCAGTGGGGACCACCTCACACTTGCCCGGGCCGGTGCTCAGCTGGAGGCCCACCGCGGCAAGGCTGGCCACGAGCAAGTGGAGGAGGCGCGCGACGGACGGCGCGTCGCCCGCGAGGCAGCCGTCGTCCAAGTAGAAGAAACTCAAGTCGACGGCGCCGTCGGCGCCGTGGCGCGGCGCGCGAAGGGCGGCCTCGGCGGCGCGCTGTAGTGCTAGGGAGAACAGTAGGGGCCCCAGGGGGTCGCCCTGCTGCACCCCGCACTCGGAGCGGACTGTCTGTCTGCCCAGGAAGAGAGTTGACGGGCGGGAGTAGCACCAGTCGGCCCAGGGTGCCAGCCCGGGAAACTCTTCGTGGACCGCGCGGAGCAGAGCCTGCCTGTCCAGGGTGTTGAAGGCGTTAGACAAGTCCAGCTTCACAAACACCTTTCCCCGGTCCCCGAGGTGGCGGGTCCACCACTGGCGCGCGACGTGCACCGCCGCCTCGGTGCCGCCAGGGACCGCGACGCCGATCTGGAGTGGAGCCAGTCGGTCGCGCGCGGCGTCGGCAACCTCGTGGCAGAGGCACTTGCCGACGAGGCGCCGGAGCACCTCCCCGACGGCAACAGGGCGCAGGCCCCCGTCCTTCTTCGGCAGGGCCACGAGAGAGGCGCCCGCGAAGTACTCGGACACGGTCGGCGGGGCCTGCCCCCTGGCGCAGAGGTTGACAAGGTTCCGGAGCTGGTCGGTGACCTCGTCCCTGTGGGCCGCGTTGAGCAGTGCGTCTTTGAGGTGTTGGGGTCGGAGGCCCGTTGGCCCGGCGGCCGAGCCCCGGGGGAAGGCCCGCACCTCCCTACGGACCGCGCCCCCGTCCATCTGCAGGGCAGCAGCCGCGTGGACAGCCGGAAGGCTGGCGGGATCCACAGCTTGGCGGCTGCGCGGGTGCTTCCGGCTCATCTGTTCGACGACGTCGGGGGTGACCTCCACGGGCGGCTCGCTGGTCAGAGCCGAGCAGCTCTTGGAGTACTGGGCGTCTGCGGCGAGCTGCACGCACCTCTCCGCTCGCTGGGAGGCTTGCGAGGCGTGCTTGGCAGCGCGAGCCTCGACTGCCTCGGCCCACAGGGAGGCCCGCTCCCCGTCCAGCCAGCGCCGGCACAGCGCCTTGGTCTGCGCTTCGCCGGCCGTCCTGCTGCCTCGGCCGCCACGGGTGTGAGGGCGCAGGACGCATTTCGGGAGCATCGCAAGCTCTGTCCACGCAGCCTCGCAATTGTTGTGCGCGGTCTGGGCCGCCGTCTGCACTAAGCACCGTGCCCAGAGGTCCCGGGCGCCCTTCGGGACGTAGCGCTTGGTGGTGGAGCGCTTGGAGAAAGCTTCCCGGAGGGAGGGGGGACCCGCGGGCTCGCTGCGCGTTTGGCCGCCAGCGGCGGGAGCGGCGGCTGCCACGGCTGCGGCCGCGCGCGCGGCAGGGCGGCAACGCGGGCAGATGCCGCCGAAGCGCGTCGACAAGAACCGTTGGCAGACCGAGCATTGCTTCAACCGGTGCTCTTGCAGGTACTCGGGCGGGACTGGTGGCAGCCCAGGGAACCGCCCGGCGGCGTGCTCGTTCAGGTGCGGGCGCATGCTTTGGTGGCCCCCCCCAGCCGGCGGAGGACGCGGCGTCGCCGCGCGGGCACCCAGGGACGGGGCAGTGCACCCGGACGCGGGCACGAACCCTGCGCTGGTGGGCAGGATCGGGCGCCGGGGGAGGGGGGGCAGGTATCTCTTGCCCGGCTGGCGGCGCTGCCTGTGGAGCCACGGGCGGCGGGGCGCCCTCCCCAGGAGCGCTGGCCGGGGGGCGGTTGAGAGCCTCGGCCCGGCGCTGTTCCTCCAAAGGAATCCCCGCGCCCACATGCATGTCCCTGGCAGGGTCGAGATTCAACCCGCCGAGTCCCACGACCAGGAGCGGCTCATCCCCATCAGTCCGGTTGCGCCGGAGGTGTCGCCCAGGGGAGCGAACCGCTGGCCCCGCCTCGACAAACGTGTTGCTCACGTGGACCTCCTGCCTCGCTGGGCCCGCAGAGGCAGAGGAAGCCGCCGCGGCGCTCGGACGCTGAGGGCTGCGGGAACCGCCCCGCCGGCACGTGCACCGATTAGTCTCCCATTGGCACGTGGCGCAAATGCCATCCGAAGCGGGGAAAGCAGGCGCGGTGACCGCCCGAACGAGGAGGACCACCTGGCCGGCCCAAGCAGCGGGGCTCGTTGGGCAGAACCACGCTGGGCTGAGGGCCGCCGTGGAAGCCAGCGTCAAAGCCTCGCACAGGGGGCGTCGGACGTGGAAGTCGTGAGCGAGGGCCGTCGCACAGATCGCTGCCAAGCCCCGCTGCGCGGGTCCGCCGTGCACCATAGCCCAAGAGGTACTTCTTAGCGGCATGGTTCCATGTAGTGATATTAGCGGCGTAGAGCGATAGAGACCCCCCCTTCCCACTTGCGTTCCCCTTAGCCTGAGAGAAGGACGGGTCGCCAAAATTGGCCGCGTAGTCTATGCACGGGTGGTCGGCGATCGCTGCCTCACTTTTGCTCACGAAAAGCACGGCTATCACGAGCATGAGGAGAACCTTCAGCTTCGCCGCCGTCGACCTGCATGGTGGTCTCTCGCCGTGGGCTGGTGCTGCGCCGCTCTGGGGGCTGCGACGTGGCACCGCGCCTGCCGCGGGCGCCCTCGGCCCGCCCGCCGCCGGGGCCGCCGCTGGCGCCCGCCCCCATGGCTGCCTGGCGGGCTGCTCGCGCCACTGCGCCTGGGGCGGGCGCCACGCCTGCCGCCGCTGGCCCAGGTGGCGCCAGGCCGCCTGGGGCTGGGGCGCCTGGGGCCTCGGCGGCGGCGGCTGGCGCGGGGGCGCCCCCCGCGGCCCCGCCTGGCACCTGGATGCCAAGGTGTCCTGCGATGGCGGGGCTGGCGGCGAGGAACTGGGCGAAGATGCGCTGCTCGGCCTCGCCCATGGTCGCGGCGCCAGCGACTGGGGGCGCGGGCACTGGTGCCTCCG